AAATTTTTTTACTATAATAGAACAATCAAAAAATTTCATTTTATTAAAATCAATCAAAAAAATTTCATTTTTATTAAAATCAATCAAAAATTTTATTTTATTAAAATAAAAAAAATAATTTTATTTTTATTAAAATCAAAAAAAAACACTTCAAAAAAAAAATTGATTCTTTAGATTAAAGTTTTGTGCTATACAAATCTACTTCTATACATAGTGGATTTACTTAGAAAAGTACAGTTTTACGTATTACGTAATTTTTTGGGGAGAAAGGGGTAAGTTTTATGTTGCATATAAATGTTACGATTGGCTCTAATTTTATCACCGTGAGAGGGTTTACTCTTCTAATAAAAATTACGTAATAAACAGTATATTTTCTAGTAAAATAACAGTGCATTCATAGTAAAAAAAAGGAATAACTTGTTCAAATACAAATCAAGAATTTAAATTTTAATCTATGACAAATTTAGCAGTTCTTATTAGGATACCTACTTTTCACCTAAAGTAAACTTTTAATTTTTTAAAGAATTATACTGAAATGTCACTTTTTAAATTACTATTTTTAATAAAATTTATCAAAGTAAATTAATATACAGTATTTTTAATTTTTATGCCCCTGGATAATTCTATCTAATTACAGAATTATAAATTTGTGATTGACAATCAAGATGATAGGCTTTGCTGATTACAGGATTACAGGATTAGCAATCAATTTTAATTTCTATCTACGGTCATGTGGTAATTAGCGATTGCTATACCCTAAACATATGATTATCGTTATACTATACGATGATTATCGTTATACTATACGATGATTATCGTTATACTATACGTCAAAAGGATGTACCATATAGCGAGCGATAAGTATGTTGCTAAATAATTTTCACAAAATGAATTAGAAACAAATGGTATCAACTCACATGTCTAACGAATTTTTATACTTTAATGTTTGTTTTTTTATTTTCCCGCCACATGTTATCTTTCTCATAACAAAGACTTGGATTCTCATAACAAAGACCTTGATTCTCATAACAAAGACTTGAACTAACTATTAAAATATAAAGTATCCTACAAATTAAAAAGAGATGAGATGTTATCCGGAATACCTAAATTGCACAGGCCAATTAAATGAAACCTTTAAGGATAAGAGGACTTTAAATGACGTATTTTGTGATCGGTTTTTTGTTAAAAAACAGAATGTATAATTTAAAAATTTCGCGCTATCTACCGTTGATGTTACGTTGATTAATGATTTTCGCCGCTCAGATCCGAGCAAGGATATATTATATGCACGTTTTGGTCAATATTTCGAAATGATTTACATTTTAATAAGATTTACCTGTGTCATGATGATATTCAACTAAAAAAATGATGTAAAATGATTTTCAACGAATGAAATAGATGAGATATTCCAATAACAAAAAAAAATGATATTCAGATATTTGACAAATTATATATGAATTAATTTTTAATTTTAATAAAGAACCAAATTATTAATTAGTCATAACAAAGACAAAGGACTTTATAGAACTTATACAAGAATGCTCATATTATTTTTCGGTCGAGAAGTTTTTAGATACTGTATATACTAAAAAAGAAAAAAATATGAATAGAAAGAAATAAATTATTAATTAATTAATTAGTCATAACAAAGACAAAGGATTTATAGAACTTATACAAGAATGTTCATATTATTTTTCGGTCGAAGGTTTTTAGATATATACTAAAAAAGAAAAAAATATGAATAGAAAGAATGAAATTATAGTCAAGATGATCAACATTGTATGAATTTGATATACTTAGTGTTTAACTATTTTAGTACTTAGCGTGCGTTAAGTTAGGAAAGCCTCATTATACGTATAAAAAATTAAGATAATCAATAGTAAATCACGATTAAAACTCGATTACGATTATAATCGATTACTAGCGCTATAAAGACGCGTGATATTAGTTACTTTGATGTAATAATTTTAAATTATCCGGCATTTATGTTAATTGGATTTTGTCTAATTATCCGGCAGTTTATTATGATTCGTCTGCCCAATAAATTTATTATTCGGCAGAAACTACATAGTTACCGAATAATAAAATTGTTATTGGGCAGACTATCGTCATAAGTTACCGGATAAATCCGTTATCAATCATGCAGATGCCTTATAACTTAATTATTTGGTCAAATGATTTAAAGTCAGCCTAAGAAGTTGAATTCCTTCGGAATTCAATTTCTTAGTCTGATTTTAAATCTTTGACCAAATAAACCAGTTATCAGGCAGTGCCTGCCTGATAACTATTAATTACCGTATTACAACATTTGATGTTATTCGGCGCTTACCTTTACTTTGAAACTATTAAAATTGGAAGAATATCAAATAACAATTGATAAAGCATCGGTAGATCGTGTCAGTTCTCCACATGCACCTTTTCTTTTTCTAAATATATATGTATCTTCTTTTTTCAAAGAAACTTTGTTTCACAGCATACATAAACATTTCTTTTCACCCTGAAACTTAATTTTTTTTATTTTCATGCGCGTTCCTGTGACTTGTTTCGCGATTAATTATCAATAATTATCAATTATATTATCAATTATATTATCATTATTAACAATTGTTATAGCGTGACATTTTGAAATCTTTTTACAGTTAAAACTAAATCTCGGCTGTTTTTTTTTAAATCACATTTAAAGCTAAATATCGGCTGTTTTTTTTTTTTCTTTTTTTATCACATTTACATTTATCATTTAACTTATTACCAATCCACTTTTGTCAATCTGTTATCTATAAAACAAATGGCCACACGACATATTGATTGACTAATCATATGAAAATATACATATTCTTGATGTGATTCGTTACAATTGCATACATTCAACTAAAGAAAACAATTTGATATAGCAGTTCTTTGAAATTTCAAATTATGTAATGTTGTATTCCGGTCCCAGGCTTTATTATTTAGATTTCCATTTAAAACGAACAAAAAAAAAAAGGTTCATACTGGCACTAAGATATTCCGTGTCGTTATCAGTCCTAAATTGTTCTAAACAGAGGCACATTAAAAATTTCATCCATTTCACCATTTCACCGCATGCATTTTTATCTTTTAAAAAGAATAAAAATGTTAATAATATTTAACCAATCTTGGAGATCTGTTTAATCTTTTATTACCCTTTTATGAAATAACTTATTTAACGCGTGTAATGACAAAAATTTAGTGCGCGATAAGTACAGTACAAAATATATTTGATAAGTGTAAATTAAAATTATAATTTAAATAAGTTAAATAATTTAGATAATTCAGATAATTTAGATCACAATGATTATACTACAATAACAACGCGAGATAAATGCATGCAACTAAACGTTTTAATTACACAATTTAACGCGTGTTACTCTTTTTTAAAATGAAACCAACCCCCTTGGGAATTATTTAATGGTTTACGGCATATTCCGTTAACATGCATTGTGTAAAACTTACGTTTTTCAAAGAAAAACATGTGTAAATATGTCGTATGTGTAATTATGTGATAATAATATAATTTTAATTGAGTAACTTTACATTCAATTGGATTCTTTTGACTTAATTGGATTCAATTGGATTTAAATTGGATTTAAATTGGGTTCAATTGGATTCAATTGGATTCAGGAATTGTCATATAAATTGTCATATATACAGTATAACAATTAGTTTTAACTTTTAATGTTTCTTTTTAAGGCGTTTAATCAGTTTCAAATTGTTATTTTTTTTTTATCACAATTTTATACTAATTTTATAAAAAGAAAATACGATACAAACATTATTTAGGTAATTTAGAAAAAAAAAAAAAAAAAAAAAAGTTTTTGAGTGGTTTGTACCCTTGCAGATGCCAAACATCGATCTTTTGATCAAAATTTTACATTGTCTTACTATTCGTTATAAATTGTTTTAAGTTAAAAAGCTTAATTTTGGATTTAATAATAAGAATCCAAACTAGGTTATTATAATGATTTATTTTTCTGATCTGTTAAAAAAACGGTCCGTTTGCCACCAAAATTACTTATAAGCATAAAAAATAATTTCGGGAAATAATTTTTATGTTATGCTCAGAGCCGAAGGCTGGATGCATTTTTGTTGACGCCCTGGTTGAAATATGGTTAAAATATCCTAATCTCTATAAGCCACGTTAAAACTTCCAAATTTGCAATGATCTTCATAACGATAAATTTAAAATGTAATGCATATAGTTGATCTATCAGTGGTATTTCGTATTACATAAATCTCGTGACGTGATATCTGATATGACGTATAACGTCTGTACTATGTAATTACCATACCTGATACTTACTTACGTACCAATACTGTACTTACGTACGTACGTCCCTGACATGTATAGTATATGTGTACTATTCAAAATGTACGAATTAGTTTTTCTTTTCAAGCATTTTTAAGGATTTCTTGAGAATTCACTGTATTCTATCTATAGTCCTGTTGTGAATTATTGTCGCTATATGCTCTAATTAAAAGTTCAAGGTAACTACCTATTTTTATGTCTTATACAATTTGGACAGCAAGGTAATACGTCAACACTGTGGTATTCGACATTCTAACACTAAATGCTGTGATGCAAATTATAAAAAATCTGTTGATAATGTTTTCATGATGCGTTCATCAGTCATTAAATCAGTTCATCATTTAAAAATACTAAAAAATACTGTATATTTAGTACATTTGACTCGTCACAAATATTTGTTCCCGTGCTAAGTACACTTGTATGAATTAAAACTTTTGTACAATAATGTCCATTAGGTATTCATTCTATTTTTACTATTTCCGCTTAATCATGTTCAAATTCTTGAATTTTTTAGCCACAAATTTTTTCTATGGAATAGCTTAGAAAAGAACTACGCTATATAAAATCAGGTTATTAAAAAGCCTTGTCTTGGCAATGAATTCATTCTAAATCTCTTCTCTAACTTTTCGATATGTTGAATTGAATTTTAATGTTTCTTTTTTTAAACAAAAAAATCATGAAAAAAATTACTTTAATTCTTATTATTCTTGCCTTTATTACTTTAGTTAAACCAGATTTTGACTACGAAAATGAAAAGTATGTTAGTCAAATGCTAAAAAGTACACCTAGTTACTCATTTGATAATGCAGAATTTTGGCATCATTCACCGACAAAACCAACTGGTAACCCTTCGCCTCCTGGAGGCTCACCTAATTCACCAATTCCTAATCAAACTGGTAACAATCCCAATCCGGCTGTAAACCCTCCTAATCCGACTGGTGATTTTTCCAATCCTAATTCCAATCCGGCTGGTGGTTCTTCCAATCCTAATTCTAATCCCAATCCTAATTCCAACCCGACTGGTGGTTCCTCCAATCCTAATTCTAATCCCAATTCGACTGATGATTTTTCCAATTCAAATTCGACTGGTGGTTCTTCTAATTCCAATCCGACTGGTGGTTCTTCTAATCCCAACCCGACTGATGGTTCTTCCAATCCTAACCCGACTGATGGTTCTTCTAATCCTAATTCTAATCCCAATACTAATCAGAGTGGTGGTTCTCCCAATCCGACTGCCAACTCTCCCAATCCGGTTACTAACCCTTCCAATTCAATAGCCGGTACTTTAACTCCTAATCCGACTGCCAATGCTATCTCTCCAACTTCTACCAGTCCTTCACCCAGCTCTAGTCATCTCTCAATTCCCACTCCACCTACTATTAGTAACACTGCTCCTTTTATTGTTAATCCTTTGATTATAGGTTTCTCAATAATCATTGGAATAATTTTACAAAGTTTTTTATATAAAATGGCATATTAACTTTTTTAACATGTGCTTTTGCACCTTTTGTTATAAAAAAAAAAAACATTTGGATGTTTCAATCACATTGTAAATATCTAAAAATTTGTAAAAAAATTAATTTATAATGACACGTATATATTTTTGTAAATTTTAACAAGTATTTAAACATATCTATTTTTTGATTTAAATATAACTACATGTTATTTTAATGTCTTAAAAGATGTATCTAACTCATAGTCAATATAATTAAAAAAAATAAAGATAATGCTTATAACTATTTTTCTTTGTAAATTCGCCTAACAATTTATTTGAACAATTTTTATTTGAAATATCAAATATTGTATACATTTGAGTTAGCAAACATAATTTTTAAGATTTTCAGAATGCTTATCTTAAACTATTTCCTTAATTAATTATGCTCTAGAAAATTTTGGAATATCTGGGGGGTATAAAACTTTAAAGATAAGCAAAGCTAAATGAAAAAAAGATTCCCAAGATAAATCTAGTAATTGTAAAATATCCGAACATATTATTTAACAGACAGGTTACAAATAGTTTAACGATCAAATTTTGTGTAAAAAAAAAAAAAAGCCTAGATTCTAATGAGAGACTACAGGACTACAGTGGCAAAAGATGCAAAGTTGAGCGATGTAATAGTTTATGTAATCAATACTGCAATACGTACGTACGTACAGTACATATGTACCTAGGATTTATTATCTCTTACCTATTTTTTACATATCCGATCTTTGTTATTAAGGATTGTTTTATTACAACAATTCACATATGCAGCCTGAACTATACGTATAATTTTCCCAGGCCTTAAAAGTTTGTCGATCTGAACTGAATTTTGCTGTTTATCAAAAAAATTCTTTATTTTATCATGTACGTATTATTACGTAAAAATTTGAATGTAACGGTAAATGTTAGGTAATTGCTTAGCACTGCCAATTCACATAATGCCATCCCTCATATAGTATCCCAAAAGTTCCGCGGCAAGTTTAAAATAGATTGGCGTATCATTTCCAAATAAAAATATAATGACAGAAATCGGCTTATTCTAAATGTATTTTTTATACCTTATGGGGTATTATACATTTCATTGACTAGCTTAATAAGTAAATAAGTAACAAATATAGTAATCGGATAGGGTCCTGCCCTGTGTTACTAAATTACAGACTTGCATATAATGTAATTTTGAGTAAGTACTATTCAAGTACTGGCATTAAAGTGCTCGGCCTGCATTATTGCATCATTTTATGGCTTATGAAAAAACATTGAATTTTTTGGAAACTTATTATAGCGTTTAAATTTAAAAAATTACATGAAGCTATCGCTATTTTCTTGATTCGGCCATCATATTTTTTTTTATATTGTATTAAGTTCTAGTGATCATGGCTGATAATAAAAAAAGAATTGGCTAAGCCAATTTCTTGGCGATTACTTGTAAGTAAATCCGTGTAAAAAGATTTTCCCCATTCATTCAACAACAAACTTCCAACATGCTAACCTGATTGGTATTTTTAAAGCTTATATTCGTAGAATTTTTAATTGAATAATTTCCGATTAATCAAATAAAAAAATGTTTATTTGTGTATATGTGAGGTTTCTTTATTAGATTAATCGGATCATTAGGATTACGATTTGTTTTCGATAAATTTTGTGATAATTGAAAAAATCTTCTGATAACCAAATCAATTATTTACCGAGTAAGATTCAATAGGTTACTTAGGTTACTTGTGTTAACTTTCGGCCGAGCTCAGAACTAATCAATTCTGTCATCGATAATTTTCTCGGTTATCCCAGAGAATTTATGAAAATACCAGTAAAAAATTTAAGGTGTTCCTAAAAATCTCAAAAGTAAATGAAAGAACCTAAATATGAGAAAGATCAGTACTAAAATTTTTAATTTGCAAAAATATTTATACTATTTTATTAAGTTGATAATAACGAATAGATGATTTGATTAAAAATATTAAACTGATCAACCAAAGTTATTCGGCTAAGCCGGCTAGGCGGATAAAATTTTATCGACTTAGCCGTTAGAAAGATTTTGATCTGACAGGATTAACAATTTAAAATAGTTAAAATAAATTGGTTTATTACAGTATAAAAGTTAAATCAAAAATCAATATATTTAATACAATATTAGAAAAAACCGGAAAATAGTTTTTTGCATTATTATTTATGATTAAAAATTGTTACATTCCATGCAAGGTAAATTGTTTTTGCTTCGAAAATTCTACTTATTAATTTAATTACAACCCAGATTTCTTTATTTGTTTCGAAAATTCTAATTATTAATCAAATTACAAATCAAAATTTGCTATTTGCTTTCGAACATCCTATTTACCAAATCATTTTTACTATAATTGAGTAAATTCGAATTTTTTATATCATCATCATGCAGTAACTTATACCCTGGTCAGTATATCAAGATCGCAGGGCATAAATCAGTTATACCCTGGGTTCTATGTGTATAAGCGGAAATTAAATTTCCGCTTACCCAGGATATAACTATTACTTATTAGCTTTCAATCGACCATCAGTTTCAAATGTTAAATTTAAAATATCAATGACATCCAAAATTGCAAGAGTATTATAGTTTGTTAGAAAAAGTTCTTGAATATTTATTTGAAAGTAAAAAAGTTCTTTGAATACTTGATAGTAAAAGTTCTTGAGTGTTTGTAGTAGAGATTTTCAAATGTCTGAAAAAGGAGGTTCTTAAATGTTGGGAACAAGAAGTTCTCGAGTACTTGATAGTAAAAGTTTCTTGTTAGTATTAGAAATTATTAAATCTTTTAATTCTTGTTGAGTTAAGTCTTTTATAATAACTAATTCTTTTTTTAATATTTGATAAATAATAAAACCGAATCTATGCTATCGATTCAAACTAATAAATATTGAGTTTATATTAATTGTTTTTATAAAACTATATATTCTAATATAAAAAATTTTTCATATCTAGATTGAGAATATTATTAAAATAATTTAATTGTAAGTTTAATTAAGAATGGTTTTTTTTATAAATATAAACCACTAACTAAAAGATGTTTTGCTTTTTTTTATATTTTTATTTTCTAAAATTAGCTAATAAATTTAAACATAAATGTTTATTAATTAATAAAAATTTTTATTAAATTTAGTTAAAAATTACCAAAATATCTTTATCTAAGTTTTAAATTTCAAAATACTTATTAAAATATTATAAACAAAATACTGTATTTCAACCGTTTCTTTTTATTTTGACAAGTTATAGAATCAAAATAAAATAAATTCATCAAATTTGATTTAGCAATTGTTAAGATATCTAAAGTTTGAAAAAAACTTATCCAATCATATTAGCCAATATTATGATTTTGATCCCCAAAATATAAAATTTACTAAAAGTCCGATGATCTCCGATAATTAACCTTTATATATATCGGGCATCTTGAAATTGTATAAGTATATATGAATAACCTAGTTACACACGGGCTCATATTCCGAGATTTAAATATGAACCCATGTGTAACTATATTGATTATTATAATAACTATCTTATTGCACGGTGTCTGACGTAACAATCCCGTGCCAATAAGTAAATGAAAAAAGCACGGGTTGTCACATAAGACCCGTGCAATAAATAATAATATATAAAGACGCGATCTGTATTCATTAAACTTTAGAAAAAAGAATTTTTAACCAATTAAATTTAATACAAATAATAATGTAATTATGGCATGCCACGGCATACATGTGGCATGAAATTTTTTTACCGTGCCAAGAACCCTACACAAGGTCTATGCACTTCCAAAAATGATATTAACAAAAAGCCCTCGAATGGGAGATTCAATTTGCTCATGTCACATATACCCTTAAATTTACAATTTACATATGATCTGCTCATGTCAAAAAGTTGCAGTTGTAAGACGCTGTACGAGTTAATGCTTGTCAAAATAACACTGCAGTAATAAAATTTTATAAAACCATATGAGCAGCTATATCTTGGCAACTACCTAACCAAATTCAATAATATATATATATATTATCTACGTATAAACCTATCGAATTTGGTTAGGCAGTTGCTAAGTTATCAGTGCTTAAAGTTTAAAAAATTCAAACATCTATCAATATGCCTTGAGTAAAAAAAAAAAAAACACCGAATTTTGATTGGGTAGCTGCTGAGATATAACTGAAATATATCACCCGAAGTTTTGAAAACGGCTAAGTTTTGTAAAACTGTGAAGTATACAATACTGGGCAAAAATTGTCGAATAACGTAATTTGGCAAATGAGCACGTGATGCTTGCGACACATGTTAGCCAATCATTTGTCAAAATGACCAGTATTGAACATGATTCGTAGGGAGTTGTCGGTTTTATTTTGAATAAACATGTTTACATCGTAACACATAAAAAAAATAACAAGAATAATTTCATGATCTTGCTAAATCTTGGCAGCCACCTAACCAAACTTGATGATTATAAATCTGTAGAAAAAAAATATAATATAATCACAGCTAGATACAGTGTAACGTGTACTGAGTTTTTTTTATATAGTGATTTAAATAAGCAAATAATATTTTAAATACTGCATTAATTAATAATAATGTTTTTTTTGCCATGATAATACGTAATAAAATTAGTATATAATTATTCATTATACAATCAAACACATTACTACTATGCAACCAGTTATCAATTTTTAATTGATTTTAGATTTGAATTTTGGAATTTGGGAATTTCGAAATAAGATTTTTAAACAATCTCAATTGTCCGAATTTATTTTGTCAACAAGTATGTATCCATGAAATTTATTTCATAAACCTGAACTTGTACAGTATAATTTGAATGCCTGCATTTCTTCGGAGGAAGGCTCATTATAGGGATCGCTTGAAGTCAAATGCATCACGAGATTTCAATTGTTTACGATCAATCAAAATCATAAAATTTTTTTTTTGTTACATGAATTAGCCCAACAAGTTTAAAAAAAAAAAGTAAAAAACGGGAAAATGCAAGAAACGAATGTCTAGATCT